AAAAAAAAAAAAAAGTAAGACCTGTTCTGATAATATATAGACTCATTTCTAAAATGTCCGACAATCACAACTGAATCAGTAAGAGCTCAGTCAGGAAAACAGAAATGAAACATTATTTTAACAGGAAGAATTTAATGTAAACAATTGGCTAAACAAATTTAAGAAAACTAAACAAGTAAAAAGGAGGCACTGAGTCTGAGACAGGAGTAACCACAGGAAGCAGCTACCATCCACTACGGCTGATGGCACAAAGAAGAGGTGGAGTTATGAGAACCAAGAAGCCTGAGACAGGAGCCTCTTAGAACTGGGACTCAGGCCTCTGAGGATAGGCCATGGCCAACCCAGGGCTGGTATCTCTGAGGAATGCAATAAAGCTGATTCTGGGAGTGTAGGAAGAAGCTGGAAACTAGAACCAATGGCTACTGGAACCAGCTACTCCTGCCAGGGTAAAAAGAAGCTGTGGGCCTTGCTAAGGAGAACAACAGCAAACAAGTAGGAGGCAATTAGTGCTTCTTCCCTTGCTCCAGCTCTTAGTGGCCCTCTAGTGCCCCCTATTGGTGAACCTAAGGGAGCCAGCTGGTAAATAAGTAATGTATTTAGCAGAGTCCTACCTTTCTGCTCTGTCGTATAGGGTTATTACGAATCTGAATTGACTAGACAGCACACAACAGCTTCAGCATCAGGAGTCCCAAGGTGGCACAAAGGGTTAAACACTTGGCTACTAACCAAAAGTCTGGCAGTTCAAATCTACCCAGAGATTCTCTGAAGACAGGCCTGCTTGTCTGTTTCCAGAAGATGGCAGTCGTTCAAAACTCTATGAAGTGCAGTTCTACTCTGACACTCACGGAGCTGCCATGAGTCAGAAGCAATATGATGGCAGTGGGTTGGGTTGGGTTTAGTGTATTCCAGATATTAAATCTCCCTCAATTGCTCCACATAAATTTACACATGTTCCTTCCATATTTTTCCACCCTGTCCATCTGGATGCTGACTCTAGCAACTATTTTGAGGTCTCCTAAACCAGAGTTTTCCAAACTTTATGATGATAATTAATTCAACAGTGGCCTATGGAATCTATTTAGAGCATTTCAACTCAATTTTTAAAAACAGCATAGAGCAGAAAATACATTGCATCACAAGTAGTTAGGGTATTATTTATTTCTTTCTGTTGTTGTTGTCGATATAGGTGTCATTGCATGTGTGTGTGTGTACTAGACTGTGATACGGATTGTGTTTCTTGGTCTTGGTTAGGGTCAAACAGGTTTGAAAATCATTCCCCTAAACAATCCAATCATGCAAAAACATTAATGACTGATGTGGTTTGAGGAAGAGCATGACTAAGACTTCTGGCGAAGTTCTAAACCAATTCTCTCCTTGTCCGAAGTAACTCCATTTTGTGTCTTTTAAGATAGCCTCTGTCATACAGTATGCCTGGTACCTCTGTAAAAATTCCCATTGCACCTTTGACCTGGAAACAAGCAGTTCCACAGAAAAATGTGGCTTTGTTTACCTTGCTGTCATAGGTGTTAACGAGAACAAGCAGTAGTTAAACTTCAGAGAGATGTCCTTACAGCTAGAATAAACCAACATTAGAGACATACTTACAGCTTTTCCATATTACAATCCTTTTTCTCCCCTCAAGCATGAGGATACTTAGCATCTTCACTTGTGATTGCTTTATTCTTTCAACAAACTCTTTCATATTTCCAGGGTCTACCAGTATAATGCAGTTCTAAGCCCATTATTGCTCCATTGACCATTTCCCAGAGACTGTTTTGACTTTGCTGACCTCAGGAACTAGGCTCAAGTGTCTAGATGGTCGAATGTGCCAAGAAGCATATGACTTTGGTGGGTTGGCTGGTTCTCAGAAAATGCCCCTAGACCCCCCTTTTACAGCATCCTGTATCTATATTTTAAAACTTTTCCAGGAAACATAGTTAGCCAAAATACTGTTATAGAGCTATCCTGATGAAGACCAATGGCTGCAGAGGTGGTCAACCAAGACCCCAGTGCCTGCAACTTTGTCAATATTATCCAATCAGAAATACCCCAAATGTACCCCCTTATTTGCAATTTTTCTCTTTATTAACCTGTGACTTTGTAGCTCCTCAGAGCACTTTGTCAAAAGCTTCTTGACTCTGTGTTTCCCTGTTTTACAAAACACCCTTTTGCCATTAATAAAACTCTTTATATTTACTTTAGACAGACCTGTAGTTTTCACTAAGATAAGTTCTACCAAAGATTTTGTACAGGAGATGAAAGAGAGGACTTAGGGAAAACAACTTAAAATCCCTCTTTGGATGGGCTTGCTCACCAGACGCCCTCTGAAACTTCCCCTAAAGCCCCTTGCCTTACTAGCTCCCTCCTATCCTTCCGGGACTTTCTTCTGGAACTTTGAGCCTTCTCTACATTATGCACAGCAATCCAGGCTTCTCCAGGCTTCTCCACACAAACACATGTAAGCGCACCGCAGTGCTTAACAAAACAAAGAAAATCTAAGCTCACAGTTTAGCAACCAACTTTAACTGGTCATTCCCCACCCTTCATGACTTATCCAAGTACTCCAAATTCTTTCAGTGCTTTTCCTAAAAGGAATCCTGTGAATGACAATGCCTGTTGTTGTTCTTGTTGTAGGTACCATTGACTTAGTTTTTAAGAGCCCCTACACAGAAGAGAACAAAACATTGCCCAGTTGTATACTATCCTCACAATCTTTGCTATGTTTGAGTCCATAGTCACAGCCACTGTGTCAATCCATCTCATTGATGGTCTCACCCTTTTTCACTGACCTTCCACTTTACCAAACATGATATCCTCTTCCAGGGACTGGTCTCTTCTAATAACATGATGAAAGTACAAGAGACAAAGTTTGGGCATGGTCGCTTCTAAGGAGCATTGCTGCTGTACTTTCTCCAAGATAGATTTATTCATTCTTCTAGCAATCTATGGTACACTCAATATTCTTCCTCAAAACCACAATTCAAATGCATCAGTTCTTCTGTGTTGTTGTTGTTATTTGTCATCGAGTTGGACCCATCATAGTGACCCCTCCTTGGGTTTCTGAGGCAGTATCACTATGGAAGTAGATTGCTCAACCTTCCTTCTGTGGTCTTCCTTATTCATTGTCCAGCTGTCATGGGCATATGAGGCTACTGAAAATACCATGACATGGGTCAGGTGCACCTTAGTCCTCACCTTTGTGACATCTTTGCTCTCTAGCACTTTAAAGAGGTCTTTTGCAGCATATTTTCCCAGTGCAGTATGTCATTTGATTTCTTGACTGCTGCTTCCATGGGTGTTGACTGTGGATTCAAGTAAAATGAAATTCTTGACAACTTCAATCTTTTCTCCTTTTACTGTGATGTTGCTTATTGGTCCGGTTGTGAGGATTTTTACTTCATTTATGTTGAGGTGTAGTCCATACAGAAGGCTGTCGTCTCAGAGCCTCATCAGTAAGCGCTCCAAGTCTTCTTCACTTTCACCAAGCAAGGCTGTGTCACCTGTATATTGCAGGTTGCAAATGAGTTTTCCTCCAATCCTGATGCTATGTTCTTCTTCCTATAGTACAGCTTCCTGGCTTATTTGCTCAGCATACAGACTGAATAAGTATGGGGAAAGGATACAACCCTGACACACACCTTTCCTGATTTTAAACCATGCAGTATCCCCTTGCCATGTGTGAACGACAGCCTCTTGGTCTATGTATAGGTTCCTCATGAGTACAATCAAGTGTTCTGCAATTCCTATTCTTCCCAATGTTATCTACAATTTGTCACCCCCACAGTTGAATATCTTTGTATAGTCAATAAAACACAGGTAAATATCTTTGTGGTATTTGCTTTCAGCCAAGATCAATCTGACATCAGCAATAATATCCCTCATTCTATATCCTCTTCTGAATATGGCTTGAATTTCTGGCAGTTCCTTGTCGATATACTGTTGCAACTTTTTTTTTTTTTTTTAATCTTCAGCAAAATTTTACTTGGGTGTTGCATTAATGATATTGCTCAATAATTTCTATACATTGTTGGATCACCTTTCTTTGGAATGGGCACTAATATGGATCTCTTCCAGTCAGATGGCCAAGTAACCCTATCCCAAATTTCTTGGCATAAATGAGTGAGCACCTCCAATGCTGCATCTGTTTGTTCATATTTCTCAGTCGGTGTTCTGTCAATTTCTGGAGACTTACTTTTGGTCAATTTCTTTACTGCAGCTTGCATTTCTTCCTTCAGTACCATTAGTTCTTGGTCATATATGCTTCCTCATGAAATGGCTGAAGTCAACCAATTCTTTTTGATACAGTGACCCTGTGCATTCTTTTATCTTCCTGCAAAACTCAATATTTTGCCCATAGAATCCTTTAACATTACAGCTCAAGGCTTGATTTTTTTTTTCCTTCAGTTCTTTCAGCTTGAGAAATGCTACTAGTGTTCTTCTCTTTTAATTTTCTAACTCCAGGTCTTTGCACATTTCATTATTTCACTTAGTCTTCTTCAACTGCCCTTTGAAATATTCTGTTCAGCTCTTTTACTTCATCATTTCTTCCACTCACTGTAGTTACTCTCTGTTCAAGAGAAACAATGCCTCTCTAGTTACAATTTTTAAATGTATGTCATTACCTGCAATTTGCCCATAACATCACTGAATCACTGCTGTCAAGTTGATTCCAACTCATAGCAACCCCTCCTTGGGTTTCTGAGGTGGTATCTCCACAGAAGTAGATTGACCAATCTTCCTTCCGAGGAGTGGCTGGTGGGTTTGAACCGCCAGCCTTCTGATTAGCAGTCAAAAAATTCTGCATTCAGGATTTGTTGTGGATCTACCACAAAGACCCTAAAGGCTCATCAGGGTGCCACAGACCATGTCCAAGACAGACTTAGGGTTCCATGCATCACTCTGTTCAGCTTCTCCCTGATGACGAGCAGACAGAGAAGGGACAGGCAGCAGGGACAACATGACCTCGATTCCTGCTGTCTCTGTCTTGAGGGAAGAGGGAGTGGCTCATTTCGGAAACTCTGAAAATGCTTCCCCATCTTCTCACTCCTTCCCCCACAAGAGAGGTTTTTGGTTGTTTTGTTTTGTTTTGTTTTCAATTACTGAAGATTCTTTTTTCTAAGATAACCACCACCGCAGCTGAAGAAGAAAACCAGCAGCCGTCCAGATGACTCTAAGTCATGGTGACTACTGTGTGTGTGTCAGAACAGAGCTGAGCTCCGCTGGGTTTTCAGCGGCTGGTGTTTCGGAAGCAGACCACCATGCTCCTTCTCTCTTCCGAAGTGCCTCGGGCGGACTCTCACCTCCATTTCAGAAACCTCGAGCAACACTTTACACCACTAATTAACCGGTTAACTGATTTAATTTTAGGATCATTGAGTTTCTCTTTATCTGTGCTGTTGAATACAGGCACTTGAGGGGAAAAGAGACTGTAATACAAAGCTCAGAAAAATTAGTTACTCGTTTTTGAGTTGTGTCCAACTCTTACCACTCCAAGTCCCCTAGCAAGGACCAGCACTGAGACCAGCTCTCAGACTTTTGTCACACTATCTCAACATTTCTCTTAATTTCATATTCCCTTTCACCCTCAAAGGAGCTCTGTTGGCCCAGGGCTAAAGTATATGGCTGCTAACCAAAAGGTCAACAGTTTTGAAACTACCAGCCCTTCAGGCAGAGAAAGATGAGGCAGTTTGCTTTCGGAAAGATTTCCAGCCTTGGAAAATGTATGGGGCAGTTCTTCTCTGTCCTATGTTGTTGTTGTTGTTGTTATGTGCCGTCGAGTCAGCCCTGACTCATAGCGACCCCTCCTTGGGTTTCCGAGGCAGTATCACTACGGAAGTAGGATTGCCCAACCTTCCTTCCGGGGAGTGGCTGGTGGGTTTGAACCGCCAGCCTTCTGGTTAGCAGTCAAGTGCCTTAGCCACTATGCCTATAGGGTCCCTATAAATAGAAATCCACTCGATAACAGTAGGTTTGGTTTTTTGGTTTTTCACCCTCGAGTACAAAAAGCATGGGACCTAGAATCAGGCCTCGTGTTAAATCTGCACTCCACCACTACAGACTCGAGGGACTTCAGGCATGGCCCTTAACTTTCTGAGCTTCCTTTTCCTCCTCTGTAAAACAGGACAGTAATTCCTAAACGCAGGTTGTAAGGATTCAATGAAATCAAATAAAATGTACCACAGAGTGCCTAGCTGTCTGCCTGTTAAGAACTAAATACCCATTTCATTCTCCTTCCTCTGACATCCTCCATGTTCTAAAGAAGTGGATTGGATAGGCCTGAAAGCAGAATTGCTGTTCTGCATGCTCGCCTAAACACTGCAGTGGGGTTTCCCGCAGCAGCGACCTCCTCTGTGAACTTCAGAGAGGTGGAAAACTCTCCGAGACTCTCAGAACCGGAACTTCGAGCGGCTGGGACTATAAATCCGAGAGGGATCTTCCCCAGCCCTGACATCCAGGTCGGGCAGCCCCGCGTGCGGGTCTCCGGGGTTCGCCACAGGCCTGCCTCTAGGCTCGGGAGGAGCCCAGCACGGCGCAGGTGGGGCACAGTCGGGCTCTAGCCCCGCCTCCCTCCGCCTCGAGCACTGGCGCGCCGGCTCTGCCGGCTGCTGGGGCGCAGGGCGCGGGCGCAGACCCAGGCTGCGGCCCGAGGGGGATCGGACTGACCCGGCCGCCTCTGAGATGTGACCCGCTCCACCGCCCATGTGGGCGTGTAGATCCCCCGCGAGGGCGACGGCCAGGGGGGCCCCGGCGTTGGGCCTGTTGCTGCTGTCGCCGTTGCTGTCACTCCTGGCCACGCCGCCCGGACGGGCAGGTAGGTGGGCGCGCCCGGGTGCTGCTTGCTAAGGGTGCGGGCGTAGCCCAGCGGGTCCCCGCCGGATCCGCGCGCCGCCTGCGCCCTCCCGCCGTCTGGCTTCTCTTTCGGGGGTCGTGGGGCACAGCGAGGGAAGCCACACTCTCCCGGCCCGCAGGGCGCGGGGCAGAAACTCGCCGCCGCCTCTCGCGCGTCCGAGTTCTTGGTCAAGTTTGCACAACTCCAAGCCTCACGCTTTCCGCTGCGAGGATCGGCGGTGGGGCGGAGGAACTTAAACACTATCGCTCCCAATGTGCGACCACAACTAGTAACTACAGTCAGTGACAGTGACCCTCCGGAACGGACCCGTCGGCACATCCCAGGCTTCCGGAGGCCGGGTCTGGAGTCCTAGTGTTTGCTGCTCGGACCTGTCCCCTTCCACAGGGAGCTCCCGCCCTAGAGCGTAAGGTGGCGCCGCGAGTTTAAAACACCAAACTCCTCTGAAGGGACTGCGCGGAGGGAACCGGAGCTGGAAAGAGGGAGCACTTCTAAAGGAAGAGTCCCTTTCCTGGAGCGTCGGTGTTTCCTTTGTTCCGACCAGGTACCGATTCGTGCCCCTTGATTTCTCAGAAACAGCACTAACTCTTAAACGTTTGATGGCACATTAAGTTAACTGACTTTTTTTTTTTTGCTTTTGCGTTTAAGTTCTCTACCAAATGGAATCCAGAAAACCGGAATGATCCATTAACCTGGTTTCTTTTCTTTTCTTCTTTCTTTCTTTTTTGTTTTGTTTTGTTTTGTTTTGTTTCTGCCTTACTGGTATATGAAAAAAAGATTTAGAGAATAAAGCAAGATATCCGGTATCCTTTTTTTTTTTTTCTTTTTTTAAATTAAAAACAACTAAACTTCCCAGAATAATGTAGTTTGTACAGACTTGGTTCAGCTTTCTATGCCTTTGAATCCAGAATTGAACAATAACAATAAATGCAGACAGAAAGTTAGCCATGAAACTGGAGTCTTCAGTGGTCAAAGAAAAAGTTCTCTGTAGTTACAAAGGTCAGAGAAGTATGCACACAGATTTCAGAGAGGTTTTTGAGTGATAGCTGTAGATAGGAAAAGGTCTCTCTTTTAATTTCTACGTTTACCAGAGATTTTAGTGATTTTATCCTTTAATATTCCCAGGAAAGCGGAATGGGAGGAGACTCTCCTGACTTAAGCAAATATGGAGCCTTCAGCTAAGATTTAAATTTTCTTGTGTATTTTTGATCAATGAGATGAGTAAAACTTGCTACTTCATTGGGTTGGGAGGCTGACATTAGAAAGTAGTAATATTCTTGGCTTCAAAGCAGAATTTGCAAAAACAAACTAAAGAATGTATTTTCTGGCCCATGAGACTTGGATACTTTATCTTCTCTTAGAACATTCCTCCTGTCCTGTTCTGAGTCTTCAGGAACTCTGGGCTCTGCTGGGAAAACCAGGTTAGAAGATGTATGTCATTAACTGGGTCATACCTGATTCTTAATGGAGAATGATTTCTGTTTTGATAGATCAGCTTTAATATCTGCTGTAGATCTTCTAAGAGTTATATGATGTTGTCTCTCTTGGGTAGATGAATGCTTTAATTTTTTAAACTTTTTTACCAAACAATTCAAAGTCACACAACTCAGTGTTTGGATCAGGCCTTATAATACCAAAACATCCGAAGAGAAAGGAAAAAGACTCAACAAGATATTCAGGTAAATCTTGATGTTTAATTTCAGATAGACTTTCAGAGCAAGTCTGACCATCTGTGCTGTACCCTCAAGGCAGGCATAACATACACTCTCACCATCACTCTCTGAATTTTGGAGGGACAGAAGTTTCATCACGGCTTATCAAACTCTGCCTTGTTGGCACATTCTGTTTTATCCCTCCACGACCATGGTCAGCGTTGTACCAACAGGCAGGACAGGAGAAGGTGACTTCCCAGGGCGATGTGTCTCCTCTTACTCCAGGCCCTTTAGAGAGTTCCACTGCTCTTAGATTAAAATCTAAATTTTTCTAAGAGATCCTGTGTGATGCACTCCTCCCTGTCTCTCCATTCTTACCTCACACCACCTCCCTATCGCTACACTGCCCTTCTTCCAGTTCCTAAAGTTAAACTTTTCCATTGCAAGACTACTTACTCACAGTTCCCTTTGCTACAATGCGCCTATCCCATTCTGTGCCCATTAACTTCTGCTCAGACTTGGAACGTCTTCTCAAGGAGGTCTATCCTAAATCCCCCAGAGGAGGTAAGCCTAATTTTAGCTCTGGGGCTTCAGAATGTATTCTAAATATTACTGCAACAAATATGCTTGTTAGAAGTAATATGCTGTAATTAACACAGTGGGTGTATTTGTTGAAGTGTCTCTTATTTGGTGTAAACACAATGGCACAGGGTATTTTGTTTCACTGGGAAGTTACGCTTGAACCTGCTTCGCACATACGCAAGTGACTCCAATGAACTGAACTTTCTTCATTATTTTCTTTTTTCACTTTTTATTTAAACTAGTTTGGACTTGTAGAAAAATTACGAAAATAGTGCAGAGTTCCTGTTTACTCCTCACCCAGTTGCCCTCAATGTTATCTTAAATAACCAGGGTACAGTCTTCATAACCAGGAAATTAGCACTGATGTTAAACAAACTACAGACCTTGCTTGAATTTCTCCGCTTTTCCCACTAATGTCCCTTAGCTAATCCAGAATCCTACATTCCATTTAATTGGTGGGTCTCCTTAGTCTCTTCTAACCTGTGACAGTCAGTCCCTCCTTCTCTTGTAGGACCTTGACACTTTTGAAGAGTACTGGTCACTTTTCTCTAGAATATCCCTCAGTTAGGACATTGATGTTTTGTCACCAGTAGAATCGGGTTATTCATTTTTGGTAAGAATGTTGTTGTTGTTGTTATATGCCATCGAGTCAGACCCGACTCATAGCGACCCCTCCTTGGGTTTCCAAGGCAGTATCACTACGGAAGTAGGTTGCCTCATCGTCCTTCTGAGGAGTGGCTGGTGGGTTTGAACCATCAGCCTTCTGGTTAGTAGTCAAGTGCCTTAGGCTCTATACTATAATTATTTAGTGTTTCTTAGTGCATCTTACCAAAGGCTTTTTGATACCATTTTGTCTTTTTGCTGGTGATGTTAACCTCGATCACTTGCTTAAGGGGGTGTCTGCAGGGTTTCTCATGATAAAAGTAATCTTTCTTTTTTCATTTTGGATTCATAAATATCTGTGGGATTATAGAAATAGCCCGTTTTTCCTCAAACTTTTGCCCACTAATTTTAGTATCCTCTGTTGTATCCTGACTGCAACAATGATTACACTTAAAGGTAATTTCCTATTTCACTCTTCTACAATTATTGATTGGGATTCTGTTGCAAAGAAGAGCTGTCCTCTCTCATTTTTTATTTATTCAATTATTTTAATATATTAATATGGACTCATGAATACTTAATTTAGTCTTTGAGTTATAACCCAGTACTATCATTATTTAAGGCTCTCTGGTGGCATAATGGGTAAGGCATTTATTTGGCTGTTAACTAGAAGGTCGGAGGTTCAAACCCACCAGGTACTCCATGGGAAGAAGATGAGGCAGTCTATTTCTGTCAAGATTTACAGCCTTGGAAACCCAAGAGGGTCACTATGAGTCAGAATCAACTCAATGGCAGTGGGTTTTTAGTTTATCATTATTTTGTTGCTTGAAATTTTCTAGCTTTGGCCATTAAGAGCACCTTCATTTTTTCTCTGGTATCCTGTCTATAAGCCCCCATCCTTTTTCCATACTTCTTACTTTCTGGCACCACAAGATGTTCCAGGCTCATTTGTATTTTCCCTGTCCCTGTCCTGAATTAGCTACTTCTCCAACAAGCTCCGGTTTCTTCTATTGGAGATTGGTGTTTAGAAACCAGGATCTGGGTGCTAGGCATGCTTATGGCCACTAGGGTGGTGGTCTTTCCAGGCCGTCTCAGTAGACATAATGGAAAACAGAAGGCTACATACTGCCAGTTATATAACATCTGTATTCCTGTGTGTGTCTCTCCATATATATTGAAAGTCATGAGCTTTTACTTACATTCTGACTGTGATACAAGAGCACAAGGTTCCTTCCAGCCTCCCCCTTTCTGTTTGTAGCTTCTTTCTCTGATAGAAGCCCAGATCTCATTAACTACAACAGATTTACTTATTCATTCAATTTTAGTGTGAATTAGTTTCAGAATTACAAATCCATACCCCTGTGAGAAATGTGTACAAACTAGATGACAGCATTTATGTACAGTTCTTTGGACTTTAGTTGTATCATATCTAGTCAGTATTCTGCTTTCCATAGTTGCCTGGGTTCCATTTTTTCTTCACCCCACTAAGTGTGGATTTGCTCATTTGGGAAAAATCAGATTCATTTGTTGCTGTTTGTATTTCAGTTTGGATTACCCCCACATTCCACATCCCACATTCCACATCCTACCTTCCACATCCTACATTCCACATCCCACATTCCACATCCTACATTCCACATCCCACATTCCACATCCCACATTCCTAGTTGGTTTTAATTGCCTACTAATTTGAAGGTATTTGAAGGGAATGTGAAACATTACCATCCCTCTGGGGATCGAAGTTTACAAAAAGATAAATCCAGAGACCTGCCTCCTTGTCATCACCAACTAGCTCCCATTCTATCACTGTCTCCCATTGGTGACCAATCTCCTTAGTTTTTAGTTTATCCTTCTTATAGATCTTTTGCATAAATGAACAGATTTGTGTACATTTTCTGACATCTCCCCTTTTTCTTACCTGAAAGGTAGCAGACTGTACTCTTTTTTTTTTTTTTTTTCAGAGTAGAATAGTATCTTCATTATTTACAAAGTAGGTTTTTTTTCTACTTCACAAATCAGTATTCCTAAGAGAAAGCCCTATTACCAGCCAAACTAATTTCAAAGGTAAATTATTTCCAAATTATGCTGCAACATAGCTCGGAAGCACCTTATTTGAGACTTATAACA